ATTGGTTGGTGGCAATTGGCTGGTTTGTTGGTGGCAATTGGTTGCGGCAATTGGTTGGTTGGCAAGCGCGAAGTGGGAGGAGGAGGCACCAAGCTCTGCGCCTGCCACGCAAATCACAGCAGCACAGCGGCACCCACGAGCACCAGGGCGACGCCAGGGCGTACATCCGACCCCCCTGGAGAGCACCAAGTGCTGCGCCTGCCACGCAAATCACAGCGGCACAGCGGCGGCGACCCACGAGCACCAGGGCCTGCCACGCAAATCACAGCGGCACAGCGGTGGTGACAACTGGTTGGTGGCAATTGGTTGGTGGAAGTTTGTGGAGACATGGTGTCGTGAGCGTTGCGCCCGTCGAGTGGAGGATTGCGGCGAGACGGACCGAATCTGCACGGCGAACTGGAAGGGCCGAGCGGTCGCGTCGAACTCCCCCTGCACACTGCTGGGCGAGCACGCGGGCAACCAGCTGGCAGAAGGTGTCAGCGGCAGCGGTGGCGACCCCGTGGTTTGGTGAGCGGCGGAGGGTATTGAGCGGGCACATAGGCGTTAACTAGGAGCGTGGCGACTGAATAAGGCACGGCCCTCCTCATCTTTAAGCAAGAAGCGGCATTGCCCAGTCGTAGCGCCATTGAGGGCAGGCGCGCTGCCCCATTGGCGGCCCTCGGACCTTACTGACGGCTGTCAGGCTCAATGCCAATAAAGGCTGCTCGGGCGCTCGCCCACAACGGCTCGAAGACACCTCCAGGGTCGGCCGTGCAGGTTTCCAGCGGCAAGGTCTTTGCTTTGTGCTCTCGCACTGCCTTCTGAAATTTTGATGTGGAAGGGCCGGAAGGATGACCAAATTGCGATGGATCTTGGCTATGGCTATGGTGCTTGTGCCACTGGTATTGTTTGGGGTTGCCCCGCATGCAGTCAGCCAAGGGCTTGGTCGAGCTCAGGGCCGTTTTGGCTCGAGTGGCTTGGCAGAGAGGCACAACTTGGCCAAAGAGTGGTGGGGAGCGTCGACCACAGTTGGATGACCCATGACCCACAGCAAACAATGCAAGTAACTGAAGCTAGCTTCGATTTACCACAAACATTTGACTCTAACCTCTATGATGCTCCCAATGCTACAAAACATCTTCAGCATCCCAAGCCTCCAAATGTAGCATCATCAACATCACCAACCCTGAAAGATACTTCCAAAGCAATCCATGTTTGCAATTATATAAGTTTCGGCGTGCTGAACTGGTCGTTTCCCCCTTTAACCCGACCCCATAGTGCTCTTCGCTTGCGAGAGTGAATTGGGGCGCAGGATGTGGCGTGCTTGGAATGAGAAGGTCGTCTATCATGTTCGCTGCTTTTGCAACCCTTTGCCAACTTACATTGTGAAGTTGCAGCGAAGACTACAAAACATTTTCTGGACATTACAGGGACTTGGGAGCGCAAGATCCTGCTGTGTGAATGCTGCCATGGCCTTCTGTTCACATCGGCGATGACACATGTACAAATAAATGCGTGAAATTATTCTGCTTTGTCTCACCTGTGCCTTAAAAGGCTCGACTGTCAACTGGGCATGAAATGAATGAAAGAAATTGCAATAGAAGATCCATGAAATAGGGACGCTACTAGGGGCTCCTGGCATCGCTACTAGGAACAAGAAGCTACTAGGCGCTCCTGGCCTTACTACTAGGAGCAAGGATGCTACTAGGAGCAAAGGGCATCGCTACTAGGAGTTGAGGCACACAGGCACACGCTCTTTTCAGAACAGCTGCACACATCGGCCAAACTCGGCGAAAGGTTGGCATGCACGTTCGAACGCACCGGCAGAAGACAACACGGAGTAAGGGGCCTGGTCGGCTCCACGGAGACAGGACGTGTAAAGGTGGGACACGCACACAGCCTAACACACTTGCCGCTACTTGGATGTCGCCCCACCCTCAGCAACACTCCCTATCTCAGCGGGGCGTGAGATGAGGCTATCCGACTCTGGCTTGCGCATCACCACCAGGAGAACAAACAACTCAACTTAGCTTGCCATAGGGCCAAGGGATGTGGAGTGGCGGAACCATTCTTCTGAGACTGGGCCCAATTGGTTTGCCTTGACAACAAAGGCTGAGGCAGCTAAAGTGGATTGGAACAGCCTCCGTTGCCCTGGACCACTTGCACTTGCTGGGCAGTTCCTCATCACTTCAATAACAATTATATACAAAGAGAAATTGACGAGTTGGCGCGATGCTAGCATGGCTACACAAAGGGGAACAAACCCTGGCAGATTTAGAACACTGACCCCACCATTGCCCAAGGGGCAATAAATCCGTCCGATCCAAGGCCACGACTCCATGCTTGTTGGATGGGTCAGGTACGATGGTGAACCTGGTTTGAAATAATCAGTTGCGGGGGCCTGTACAGCGGACAGGACCAGGCACAGGACATCTGACAAATAAGGCAGTTGAAATCGAACGTCTGTAACCATAAACACGGGATCCTCCTGCCTTCCCCCTTCCCCATCTCCTTGTTGAATAGATTGGACTTGGATGAGTAAAGAGAAGTAGAACGAGAAATCGGTGCTGTGCTAAAGAGTTGTTAGGTCAAGGCAATGGAGGCACTGGTGCCGATGGCCCTCACACCACGCTGCTTCACGGCCACGCCCGAAGAACGCTTCTCTGCAACCTTCCCAAGAGCCAAAGCTCGTCTTGGCACGTAGGCCAGCTATAGGCTTTCATCCAACCAATTCTGCACTCCTTTAGGATCTGGGGCTCAAGTGGCGTTTCAATGCGGGGAGTTGGTGACCAAGGTCATGGCGTGTTGTAGCTCTGGAGTGGCAGGCAGCTGACGCCACGTGAAGTGCAGTCACGTCGCCTGCTACGTCATCCTACGTGCGCTCGCGTCGATGCACCCCAGAGCATACAAAGACGTGCTATTTAACATTGTTTCTAATAGCTTCTTGTTACTAGTAGCGTGGCACTTGTTACTACTAGTAAGGCACTTGTTACTAGAAGCGATGCACTTGTTCCTAGCAGCTTCCTCGGGACGACCGCGACTCTTTCCCACTTTCTGGAGTTTTCTTCGCCCCACCAGCTTGAAGAGGTTTTCTTGTGAAAGGCTACAAGCGGGCCTTTCTCGGATGGTTGGATCAAGGACCATTCGCCATCAGGGCAGAACAAGGTGAACAAGAAAGCAAACCAAACCAAGTCTGGATTGACAAATCACTGGGACACCTCTGGGAGTGCCTGCACAACAGGCCACAATAAAGCCAACAGACCCAAAACGCAGCACGGTGAATAATAACCATTGCAGACTTGACGTGAAGTTGAGCACCAATCTGACACGCAGATCCGTCTTTACTTATTCTGCTTTTCTTTTTTCTGAGTACTCCTTGTCTGGCTCCACCTCATATTCCCACATTTTTGAGATGTGAGTACTGCTTCTGCAGTTGCACGGACACAGGGGAAGACATTTGTCGCCACATTGTTGTGATGTGGCATATGCAGACCATCAGACCTGTGTCTTTTGTGCATTGGGTGCCACATTGTTGTGATGTGGCATATGCAGACCGTCAGACATGTGCCTTTTGTGCATTGGGTCTGCGTGGAAAGTAACATGAGATCTTCTTTCGGCGCGGAATCATTGGGATCCAGTTCACCAAGTTGAATACAGCCCACCAGCAGTGAGAGGCAGACCCTAGGAATGTGCGAACACTTGTCCTTTTTTCACTTCAAGCAATGACATGACATGCGCTTTCGGGGCAGGCCACAGCATGCAAGTCAAACCAACTTGTAGCTTGGGTACAAGGGGTTCCCTTTGGCGATCCGCTGAGTCAGTGTGCTGCGTTGGATGTCCTAAATACAGTAAGTGCGTTATCCAACTTAGTGTCTGGGAAGCTTCGTCATCCAGGCAAAAGACAGCAGCAGAAACATTTTGATAACTTGTCCTCGTCCGTACGAACTCAAAGTGACAAAACTAGGCCCTAACACATAGTAAATTCCAGTTGAAGCTACTGTGCCAAAGCCCCTGCCGAACATTCAGAGAAGCTGGGGACAGTGTGCTCTCTATCCGGCGCATGACAAGGAGGCAGTCATGGGAGAGCGCAGGGCAATTGACACGTTCAATATACTCTTAGTCACAGTCCAAGATTTTGGAACACTGCACCAGTGAGGCTAATGTCGCCAGTACGACTTGCCGAGAACAGCCGCCACACATCGAAGACACCTTTTCCGTCATTCCCTGCACATGTGGATCTTTGCCTTGTTCCCTTGACTGGTCTTCAGCATGAGACACACTTGAAATCGGTGAGACAACTTGCCGAGTCTGTCTCGGCCAGAATGAGAATTAGATAACCTAGGGTAATACTGAGAGAAAGGGCATGTAACAAAGAAACAGCAATAAATTGCAAAAACAATAGTAGTATGAATAAACATATATACAATGTTCTTACACTGTATGTATCTGGTTACTCACTTCAAACAATTAATTTTTGAAAGCTCACTGATGCTCGCCAAATTTATATGCTCACTGATGCTGCCGACTCGCTTGAAAGTGTTTCTCTGAGCATGAACATTTCCCAGCCAAGGCTTCGAAGCTCATTGGCTGCGGCTTACAGCACATAGTATAGGCACAAGCAAGTAGTGTATTGCGGTGGAACCTTGGATCCTAAGCAGCATTGAACTAGCTACAAGCCACTTGCCTTCCAGCACTGAGACCCTGGCAACTGGAAGCGACCCTTTTCCGCCGTGAGCTTCACACAAGCCGCTCAACGTTGTCCATACACAGCACTCACTTGACACAACTCAGGCGACATGTCTTGCATCAGCTTTGAATGGATCCAAAGATTTGAACCCTTTGTAGACTTACTGTGTTTCTGTGAAAAAACTGGATATGCAAAGCTTTTATGCTGAATTCTCTGAGCTTTACATTGTTTTCTTCTGCCCATCTAGGAAGACTTGCATGGCCTTCCTGATTGTCTCGGATCCCTGCCAAGCCTTGCATGACATCGGCTGGCCTTTACAGCCACGTTTATCGGCTCAGTCGCCAAGCTCGCCCATGAAGACCATCCTTCACAGCCCAGAGAGGGAAAGTGAGTCAAAATGAAATGAGAGTCGAAAGAAAGATGAAGAGAGTCATGTTTGCAGTGGAGAAAAGAGACTCAAAACGAAAACATAAATTGGAACCAAATGAATAGTGCGAGGGCTTCTTCAAGGAAGCTTCCCCCCGCCCTCATGCGGGGAGGCTTCCTTGAGCCAAAATAAGAAGCGTGAGCTATCCCGCCTCCATATGTAGTAGCGTCTTAGTAGCTTGTAGCTTACCTCCCTAATTATATAAGTATGCGTCTACTTGATAAAGTAAGGGCGGACCAAAAACGACTTTTTCATGCTGTCTTTTTCACATCAAACATGAGTCTCTTTTGGCTCAACGGCTCAAGTTGGGCTTCGGTCCTGTCAGAAGCCACGGACGCAATGATTGGCTCTTTGGGATGGAAGCAGACTTCATTCACACTCCCCGTGTGTCCAGGAAGCCTAAGCGTCAGCGATTAGCAACGACCATCGAAAAAGACTCAGAATCCTTTGAGCAATTTCAGCACCTTGGTACCTGCAATTGACACCAATTCCCAAGAACAATGTGAGTTGGTTTATGTGCTTTCACGTCGCTGGGCCCAACTTAGCAAGAAACCTGTATGCGAGCTGCAGCATCTTCATGTCCCAAATATTTACCTGGCGAATTCTTGGATTGGCTTCACCACAGGGTTGAGTGCTAAACTTGCTACAAGAATGTCTAAAACCAGCTAAAGTATGTAAACACTCCCGGCAGTCGTTCACTAATGTTGACCTGTTCGAGATGCATCACGTCAATTGTGACCGAGTTCACACTAACGACGGCATGTTCCAGCCATGCAGGAGGTACGTTCTGACACGCAGATCCAGCTGCCAGGAGTGCATCTTTCTCAGACCATCGGACCTCAAAAGGCAAGTCCTTTTGCCTCCTGCTTTCGCTACTTAACTGGTTTTTTTGGGAGGGGCTGCAAAGCCAACCGTTTTGAACTCTCAGGCAGGGCAGCTAATTTAGTTCCATTTCAAAAAGCAGAGGCAGGATGAGGCAGTACATGCTGACAGCTTCGGACGCAGGGTTGCCCTTCGGTTTCCATTGCCTGAGAGCCCCCGCCCGCAAGAGGTTCTTCTCAAAGTTATGTGTTGCACCTGCATCACTTCTGATCGTGTCCATCTCAAAAGTAAGAAGGTATGACAGTATGATATACATATTAACCAATGAAACAATTGTATTGGATGGACCAAAAAATGTGACCAAAAGGTTGAAGCTGTTTTGACCGGTCGACAAGCCATTCTGCGAGCAAGGGTAGAAACGACAACCGCAACTGCTCCAAAAAATCAGGGGCCGGTGGAATCTCAATAAAGAAAATAAAGAGCGCATGGATAGCTATGAAGATCTGTGCCGACTGCCATGACTCCAACAGGATCACCAATGCCGCGCCTCTCATGATTCGGAGACATCGATTCCTGATGCAACGGCTGTCCACTTTATACAGGCGGTCCCCTTTCAGTGTGAAAGAATTCCAGGCTTGACTCTGTTGGGTCCAAAGTGCACCACAAACAGACAAACTGACATAGCCTCACACCAACACAAACGGACGCTGTCCTTTGCCCTGCGAAGGGCCTAACATCCCAAATGCGGACCTGTGGCACTTGCAATGATCAATTGGGGAATGAGCCATGACATCAAAATGGCCAACATCGCATAAACTTCCACACCAATACTTGCTCCTGGATGAAGAAACGCAGACGTTGAAACTAAGTAACTTACCGGTTTCACTACTCTTGGACTCTTTCACTCTCTTCTCTACTCAATAATGGTCAGACATCTGTGCTCGCTGGCTGTATTGTCCATGGAATTGGTGGCCAAGAAGTTGCCATCCTCGCTGCAGGTTCGGCGAAACTAGCGACCATGTTTAGCCACTCGAGTTTACTCTGGAGTACTCAACATACAAGCCAACATTTCAAGCTGTTTGGCAGTTTCTGCTTGACCAGATCAGGCAGATGCAAGGCGGCAACAAAGTCAAAGAGTTTCAAGCAGAATTGGGATAGAGGATACCTGGGAAAGCCTTCATCGATTCCTCCATAAACAGCATTAACCATCCAATGATGCATGATTTCGTAAGAGAATGGTGAAAACTGCCAGGTCAAGTACGTGCTCTCTGTGTGCTCCCCACGAGGATGCCCAAAGAACATCCAAAGGCCGTGCTTTTGAGTCTGAGACGTTGTCAATATCAAATTGGATACAATGATGCTTGCCATCTGGCAGCCTTCCTATAAACTCTGCAACCAAGTCGTTCAAACCCATGTCAACTCCAACCTGCTCCGTGTGAAAGAGTCTGGGGTGGTGATTTTCAGCTAAGTTTTGTGACCTTCTGACATGCACATGACCCTGGGGCTCCTTTGAGACGTCTAGGCCCGTAATGCTATCACCATGGCCTTCCAGAACCTCACGGTCAGTTCATGCCAAACAAAAAACACAAACATCATTATATAATGCACAAAAACCATGCAAGTCTCCCTAGGAAGAAGCTACATGCAGTCTTCTTCAAGTTCAATCTGCACTGAGAGCAAAGTGCACCAAGTGTACCTCTGGATCTTGATCTCGCATCCTCATATCGTAGATCAACACCGTGTTATCCAAAGACCTCAGCACGTTCAAACCCGACACCCTGTGAGCCTCCTACAACCATCTCAGATAGCAAATAGCAAACCGAGTAAAATCATGTGTAGAAAAAGTGCAACTCTGTCATCCTGCTTTCGGTCACCAACTCAGCTAGATCCACAACGAGAGGAGTGGAGTTGCTGTGCTGAGAGCTGAGACCCGGAAAAGATCCGCTCTGCCGTGTCATCGAAGGAGACTGCCAAGATCTGGTACCTGCCACATGGGTCCCATGAACCCATGCCCGTATCCTAAGGAGCTTCTTGCTCCTAGTAGTAAGGCCAGGAGCCCCTAGTAGCGTCCTTGCTCCTAGTAGCGATGCCAGGAGCCCCTAGTAGCTCCTTCTTAGTGTTTGAACTATGTCAATGGCAAGTGGATCCTAAACTCAGACGTAGTATTGTGCACGCTTTCGTACAATCATACACAAATCAGCGAGCTTCAGAATCAGAAACCGCCACGTGCATCTCCCGACTCTGCGCACTGATGCTCAAAGGTGTGCACCTGAGCAGTTCGAGCAAAGGAAAAAAAACTTCATTGTTCCTAGTGGTAAGGCCAGGCGCCCCTAGTAGCGTCCTTGCTCCTAGTTGCGATGCCCTTTGCTCCTAGTAGCTTTCTTGTTACCAACAGCCTTTCCTTTCCGACTTTGCTAGGGGCGCTCTCTGACATCACCCCAAATTCTTGACCGGGGAATCTATGATCCAACTAGTATGTATGAAACTAGATGTGTTCAGTCTCCAGGATGTCAAGCAGTGCTTCTCAACAAAAATTGCCTGTTCGAATTTGCAAAACTGCCCTGGGAGGTGACAAGGAGGCACCAAACTCTTCCGCTTCGAGTCCCCGAGTCGCCGAGATCAAGGAACATCAAACTCTTCTACTTGTGACGTGACAAGTGGATGTGTCACTCAAGTGAGGGAGCCTTCTAGTAGTGATGGCCTCCAAAGTTGAAAGTCAAAAAGTTGGAGACAGAACTTCTGTGCCGGGGAAGACTCGAACCACAAGTCGGAGTTGCAAAGACATTTTGCCTCCCCACCCACTCCTTCCTGGGTGTCCCCCACACATCGTCGGACTCTCAAGTCCCACAACTTTGTGGTACCTTTCAGTGCTGAAAGGAACTGTGGGCATTGCTGAAACTGCGTCTGGAGCCCGATGAAGGAACGAGCATGGAAAGGATTCCGCCAAACAGGAAAGCGCTGTGCATGGGTGCCGACTATGCTTGCCACAAAGCTCTTCGAAGGTTGTTTATTGCTTTTTGATGTCCTGCACAGAATCCATATATTGCCCCACTTTACCGTTCCTGAGTGGTAGCAGAACGGCTACAGAAGGCAATGTCATCACTGTGAATTCCTGCATGGGCATCATTTGAGTAGGTCTTGCACAGAATCCCAAGTCCCAAATCTGCCCCCGCGCACCATCATCTCCTCCACTCACGAGGTACGGAACACCACGTCGGGAAGTCTGGCCAAGAGCAAATCTTGGGCTCGCAAGGTCCGTGACTGTCACTGTTCCAAACACTCGTGAGTTTAGACACAGCCGGCTCCTACTTGATCAAGTGGCCGCCTCCTTAACTAACTAAGCTACTAGCCTAAGTTAGCTTCTAGGTAGGACGCAGGATTGCTCACGCTTCTTCAAAGAAGCGCTCTCACTTGGAAACTCAACTCCACATTTTGTGACTACATAGTCGTCAGTTTCGACACGATTGAATCTTTTGAATTACAACCCCCATAAAGGCAATGAGATTGCCTGCATGCTGTTCACGATGGCCGTGTGTCCATTCAGCTTCTTCAAGCGCTTTCCAGACTCAGGGTCCTCTGCCATCAGCCGGACAAAAAGCTTCAGGGTTGTGGACACAAAACTTTGCAGTTGAAGAACGAAGAATCTGAGTGGAATTCATGACCATAAAGACTTGATTTTGGAGTCAACATATATGGCCTATCGGCCTATCAACATTTCTTGACAGTCTCGCACTCTAGACCGTCCCTGCCCCGATGTCCCAAACGCAAACGCTCTTGTCTGCAGAGCACGTGTACAACTGAGTACCGTCGTGCTTCCAGTGAACCTGCAGGGTTGAATCAACAGACTACCATCATGACTGCTTCGGAATCTCTTGCGAGGGGTGAGGGGTGAGTGCAAATGCTCCAACCCAGCACAGCATGCCAATCTAGAATGCACTTCCTCAAAATACAAGGTGTTGGACACCGCATTCATCAGTCCTGCCTCAAGCACAGCATTTGCATGGCCTTTCATGACACCGTAGTTTTCGCATTCGCCATACACCTTCATCCAACACTCTCGCCGTGACTCTCCCCGACTCTTTGCTCCAAAGTGAAACGCGAAGGCGAAACCTCAACATACAACACTTCCCAACATCTCCACTAAATAACTTCTTGCTTTATCTTGCTTTCACACCTGAAGTCTACGAGCTCATCGGAAAGCAACATATATGTAATTGCTTACCATGTATCAACAATACAGTGCTCAGAACTCGGGCACCCAGACATTCCACAAGTAGAGGCACTTGTCAAAGGAGCCAGTGGCCAAAGATCGCCCATCTGGAGAGAACTCTGCACAAAATACCTGCAAAACACCACTGGACTGGTTGTGAAACAATAAGGCTCTTCAGCTAAAAGACATTGTTGAATCTGGCTTTTTCCAGGATTTGTCCAAGCAACAGCGAATGAACTTTGGGTTGTGATTGCAAGTAGATGAAAGACTCTGAAAGATTTATATAAAGCTCGAAAACACTTCAGTTTCATGGTCCCTTCTACCCAGCCTCTCCCTCATGGCCAGTCAGCAACATTGTTGGGCCAAAGAGGCCGCTCTTTCTGTTCACATGCTGAACCTGGGCTAAGATCTATAGTCTATAGTAATTTAGAGCTGTTAGTCGTGTCCAGCTGGTGTCATTGGTTTTTCAAAGAGTAGCACACAAACGGCATTGTGTAAAGACCTTCCGATTCACTCCACTTTCAGTTGGGTGTGCCAAAATGCGCCAAAAAAGTGTTGAGACAACGGCATGGATAAGCTGCTCTTGAAGTGCTGGGACCTCAGAATCGAAGGCCAATGAGAGTTGCCAATTGGTTATCATATCACAGCCAGGCCGCATCAACAAGTACAGTACATAGGTCAAATGTTTTGCCGACAAATGGTTGATTCTTTAAACACCACCCACATAGAATAAATGCGTGGAAGCTCATACCAGCCACTGAGCATAGGACAAGCTCAGCACCGCCGCTATACTTTTGCCTCTTGGCTTCCTTGGTCAAAGAGTCAAATAGCTGTCAAAAATAGTTTGTTCCCTCATCCTCAAACCAAATCAATGAGTGCCAGCCCTTGCTACAGAATTAATTCACTCAACCATCAGTGTTACTCCCAAAAACTAACTGCAGCACTGAATACTGGCACAGACGGTATCCCAGAAGGTTGCAGGCCAGCCTTGCCTTTAGCAACTTTAGCACTTCAAGGAGCTTTGCCTCCCTCGCGCCATCTTCCATCCGTCCCTTCCTTTCTATGTATATATATATATAATGTTACACATATTGTTTGACGACGACTCTGGCTCTGAGGCAGTGTCTGGCTGGCCAGTACTCACAAGTGCCATTTCGCTGGCTGCCTAGCAGGGAGTGCAGATCAGTCTTGACGAAAATGCATGGCATGAACTTGTGGCCCAGAGGAGGTGGCGAAAGCTGGGCAAAGAAACAACGCTGGGGCTCTTCAGGCAGCAAAAGCCTGGCCGGGAATCGCAACATGCCATGGCCAAGGGAAAAGGAGAGTGCCAACAGCGCCCCCCCAATACGACCCCAACACAGCCAACACATGGCAACACACAACCGCCCCAGCAACCGCAGCAGCAGCAACAGCCACAACAACAATAACTGTAACCAGCAGCAGCAGCGGCAGCAAGCAGAAGCTACCAAGCAGCAGCAGAAGCAGCAGCAGGAGTAGCTAGCAAGCAGCAGCACCAGCTACCAAGCAGCAGCAGCAGCAGCAGCAGGAGCAGCTACCAAGCGGCAGCAGCAGCAGCTACCAAGCAGCAGCAGCAGCAACAGCAACAGCTACCAAGCAACAGCAGCAGCTACCAAGCAACAGCAGCATCAGCTACCAAGCAGCAGCAGCAGCAGCATCAGCAGCAGCAGCAGCTACCAAGCAGCAGCAGCATCAGCAGCAGCCACCAAGCAGCAGCATCAGCAGCAGCTACCAAGCAGCAGCACCAGCAGCAGGAGTAGCAGCAGCAGCAGCAACAGCAGCTACCAAGCAGCAACAGCAGCTACCAAGCAGCAGCAGCAGCAGCAGCAGCGGCAGCAGGAGCAGCTACCAAGCAGCAGCAGCAGCAGCAGCAGCAGCAGCAGCTACTAAGCAGCAGCAGCTACCAAGCAGCAGCAGCAGCAGCAGCAGCTACCAAGCAGCACCACCAGCTACCAAGCAGCAGCAGCAGCAGGGAAAGAGTGAGCTTTCCTTAGAGTCTTTCGTGGTCTCGAGCAAGAGCACATATAGGTGCTGCATGAGTAATTGTAGAAGGGCGACGTGGAAAGACAGATATATCTGATATATCTGCTTTTTCCACGAATAAATGTTGACGATGCAGCCAGCAGCGGTGTGCATGATTGACATGTCGGGTTGCATGCGAACATGTGTCAGCAACCGAAGACTCCGTCGCAACGCTTGTGCATGCTCCCTGTCGCTCGAACATGGAACGTGGACTACCATGAGTGAAGCAAACAGCCCGTTTGATCTGCATGGATAGCGGATAGTGCATTCTGATTTGTACTCTTGGGGGGTTGTGGGGTGGGTACATGCCTGTACAAGCTTCTTAAGGATATAATGAAATTAGCATCGTTTCACGACCCAGAGGGAATGCAACTACTCTTGATTCTAACGAATAGGCTTTCTTCAGCACCAACAGCAGCCAACAACCCCAAACAGCAACAGCAGCAAAACGGAGCAGACAACAAGCAGCAGGCAGCCAGCATCCAGCAGCAGCAAGCATGCAAGCAGCAAGCAGCAGCAACCAGCAAGCAGCCAAGAGCATCCAGCAGCACCAAGCATGCAAGCAGCAAGCAGCAGCAACCAGCAAGCAGCCAAGAGCCAGACGCAGATGAGACGCCAGCAGCAGCAGCAGCAGCAGCGACCAAGCAGCAGCAGCAGGTACCGAGGAGGAGAAGGGTGGAGTTGACCCCGCGAGGGGGGGGGGGGTATAGTCCTGATATATCAGGTAACAGCACTCAGGTCCTGGGCTCCCACCCTCCTTGCTAAAGCAAGACAGACTCCAGCTAGCTACAGCTAGCTTTCGTGAACTGCCCCCTGTTCCATCATCTTGTTGCCGCTTCAAAGATGAGAGAGTGGTTTCTCTGCTTTCTTCTTGTTCCTAGTAGCGATGCCCTTTGCTACTAGTAGCTTCTTGTTACTAGTAGGAAGGCCAGGAGCCCCTAGTAGCGTCCTTGCTCCTAGTAGGATCAAGTTGGATCAAGTTGGTACAGTTAAATAGCTTTTGTCTTCCTAACTCCCCCAACAAAGCTACCAAGGCCTCCTTCGATCGCCGGCAGCTTCGACACTTGAGCCATGAAATCCAGTCGAAAAAACCGAGCTTTTTTTGTGTTTGAGAAATGCACAGGCGACACAAATGTTGAGACAAGCAGGACAAGCAGGTTGGAGAAAGGACTGAACGCTCAAACCGTGGCATGAGCTTCCAGACATATAAAATGTACGGAGCCGCTCTTCTTGTTGCCAGTGGTTTGTCATGCTACCAACAGATTTAGAGGATTGCTGCCGGGGCATGACCGGATCCCGGTCGGCCCTCAAACATTGTCGTCATGAGAGGTAGCTTGTCCAAACGATCCTTTATCTAGTCAAAACTTTTAGTTGCAAGAGAAAATGCACTGACATTTTGCATGGCGATCTCCAGAATTGCATGTCGCTGCCTCGCCAAATCCAGACCTGCAACAAACACCACCTTTGGTGGGTTGCAAGTGAGACAAGCAGAAGTGAGAAAAGGTAAAGGAGCGCTGAAGCAAGCTGAATTGTGAAGACACAACACCCCCGGCACCTTCAACCTGCAAGTTTCGTGTCAAAATCCAGGCTGAAGTTGTCTGAGTCTCAACCTTGTCCAGTGGCGGATAGGATGCAATCCAAATAAGCAGGGTCGTTGCTGATGTCAATTGATGTTCACTTCATAGCTTCTTGTTCCTAGTAGCGATGCCCTTTGCTACTAGTAGCTTCTTGTTACTAGTAGTAAGGCCAGGAGCCCCTAGTAGCGTCCTTGCTCCTAGTAGCGATGCCCTTTGCTCCTAGTAGCGTCTATGTCTGACGTGTCTTTCTCTTTGTAGATGCTTCACCGTGCCGTCAACCCCTGGCAAATTGCACGTCAACCCCTGTAACCGCCGTGCTTTGGGAATCTGCGGTGAATGAGCACCCAATAGGTTCAACAAAAATCAACTGGGACGTTTGACCACTCAAAGTGGACCAACTTCTCACCCTTCTCATTTCATTTCGTGAAAAGCTAGGGTCTGCGCGGGCTGCTCTTTGTACACCAGGACGTTCCTTGCTTGTTGTACAATATCGGCGTGAGGCTCAGGATGTCCATGGCTCCTTGGGCAGTAAAGCATTGCTTTTTGATAAAAGGAAAAATCACAATTGTGCATTGCTCGAGCCTGGAAGACCAAGTGCATCATAATCATATGCCGTATGTGGCATCGGCAAGTCGTTGCTCCTGTGCAGTTGTGAAGTGTCAATCATCGAGAACGGCTATTGCACTCCAAATTTGTGGACTAGGTCAGTAGAAAATGAGCAAGAAAATGCTTGCCTTCACGTATGATATATATATATAACTTGCTGTGCCTTACATGATTGGTGATTCTGAGGCTTTTGGCCACTTGGACATATCCAATACTTGAAACAGCTTCGGGAAGATACCAAGCAGGTTGATGCATGCTGGAGCCCATCAAAGATATTGGTTTCAGCTAAAGCTGAAAAACTGTCAGTGGCCAAAATGTAAGGGGCAGGGTGGTATTCCAACCCAACCAAGACAACTCGAACGCCCTATTCCAATAGTTCCTGAGGGTTGCAAAAAAGGAACTCAAGCAATCACATCTGTGTTCAGTCCTCCAGCTCAGTGGCGCGCTGAAACCAATACGCAGAAGCTGCCTCTGGCAATCTTTAGCTCCACACATGGAATGGTTAGGGGCTCCTGGCCTTACTACTAGGAGCAAGAAGCTACTAGGAACAAGTGTATCGCTTCTAGTAACAAGTGCCTTACTAGTAGTAACAAGGACGCTACTAGTAACAAATTGGTTTCGATGAACTTGTCACATCGACCCGACCCAGCATCAAGTGAAACGCTGTTCACTGCGGCTCATTGGTCTGGCCGTCGCCGCTCCTCATCGGACATTGTTCCTTCACCACAAAGGTACATCACCCCGAGCCTGGGCGACGGCAACACAAAGGAATTCTCTATAGTAGTAACAAGAAGCTACTAGGAACAAGGGCATTACGAGCTGGGCCGCAGCTGCCCCCCGAAAGAGTTCCAATGCATTCTCCCTGCTTGGAGCGCTGGGCCGCAGCTCCAGGAAAGAGGTTCAGCACATTTCTTGCCAGTGCGGTGTGTGTGTGTGTGTGCAAACAGCAATATGTACAGTTGACAGAGCACTCATCTAACATCCTTGTGACCTCGAAAGCCCTGTACGCCAGCACCACAACTAGACGGCTGCAAGTCATTGCCCGTCATAGGTTGTGTCAGCACTGCATGCAACGTAGTTGTGTGATTGCACAACGTTGATTCTGTGCCATCAACAAAACATGATTTTTGCAGCGAAACAAAGCATGCATACAGTACAAAAAAGATCGAACAAGGATGGATATGGTATAATTTACATGTTCTGTGCTGCGCAAAAAACGTTTTAATGTACTGTGGACAAAGCACTCATCCTCATCCTCTTGAGAGGCCTCTGCGCCAGCACCGCAACTGGGCTGCTGCAACTCACAGTCTGTGTCAGCAGTGCATACGACATAAACGTACTCTGGTTCCAAGAGAACTGCACCACACACACAAACACACTCTGAGCATTGCAGTCAGCAATTGTGTTTGCAAGGCGTCTAATTGTCACACAAGCCTGTCTAACACAGGCGGCCAGTGTTTCTGGAGGGTTTGTTTGTTGCCTTTGCTTCACATTGTTTCCTGTGGATGACAGGAGATTGATGGCAACGCCATTGTGCACAGAAAAGTCAGCCACCTGAGTGCTTCACTGTTGGGATACGTATATGCTAGTAAGAATCAAAGACTCCTATTTGTCTTAGAGAATTGGCCCGCTGTCAGGTTGCAGTTGACGTGAGCTGCAACGAATTTTGGGGATTGTAACTTGTGTTGAGTTGTTGTTCGGCTCGGAAACTCTGACCAGGATGCTCAAAAGGCCTGTGAGTTCCAGTTCGGAAAGGATTGGAAAAGACAACCTCTTCGCCAGATTTGCAGAACAACAAGTGGGCATAAAGCTTCTAGGTTGGAGGCCATCGCTATTAGGTTGGAGGCCATTGCTCAACCAACTCTTAAGTCCCACACTCGTTGGCAGCTTCTGGATTGCCACTCTTCGCAGCCTCCAACGCTTCCCAAAATCCCGGTTGAATCATGCCAGTATGTCATTTGAATGGTTTCTTTTCAAGGCCTTTTCTTAAGGCCAAAAGGGGAAAGGTGATCCAGAGTAGCTTTAGGCTTGGACGCAGAAGAGCTCAGGCTTAATGATTTGGTTCCTAGAATTTTATGGACATCTGTGCTTTTCAGGCGCAGTTATAGTTATTGTTGAAACCATTTAGTTGCAAGAAACAATGCTTTCCTCGCACCTATTTTGCAGAGCAGGTTGGATTAGTAAGTGAAGCACCATTGGTAGATAGGATGCACGGGATACATTGTCTTCATTGCAAGACAACCACTTCCAGAATTCCCCCAGATTGGAAAGGAAACACAACAAAAGCAGCAATTGGATGTGCAAAAACCATTGCTATCTTCACACTACCATAAAATAAATAAACGACATTGTAAATGTGCCATTCTATACTATCCTTTTTGCCGTTTACCTCCCTTTGAATGCATGGTCGAATCCTAACACTAAGTTTCTGTTGAGCACATGTCTCAACGCAAGAATCTGTCCCACAAATAATCAGTGCTAGTCTTCCAGTGAATATGCCTAGGCAGACAAATGATTGCTGGGTCTGTTAAGAACAGAAAGCTTTTTGAATGCCAATGAGTACACCATGTGAAGAGTTCAATAGCCAGGCCAATCGGAGATTCTCAGATTGCCGAGACTTTTGATCCCTTGCAAGCTTCAATACACTAAGAAGTTCTGCAGGCTGCCACTACACACGTATGAAAACGACCTGTGATGAAAAAGCACTCAACAGCATCCCCCGAAAGCACCTTTTCAAACCAACGAAGGGCAGCTGCAGGATCGCGGGGCGACCCCTACCACATCAGTGCAGAGTACACACAAACTGACAATGCCCTTTGCAACTAGTAGCTTCTAGCTCCTAGTAAGGCGAGCTACTAGTAGCGTCCTTGCTCCTAGTAGCGATGCCCTTTGTTCCTATTTGGGATGACTTGATTGCATGACTTCTGAAGAGCCAAGCAGAAGCTACTAGTAGCAAAGGGCATCACTACTAGGAACCCGGGCATCGCTACTAGGAACAAGGACGCTACTAGGAACAAAGGGCATCGCTACTAGGAGCAAGGACGCTACTAGTAGCTATTTGCAGGCAAAAGTGGCGAAGAATAAAGTGAAGCTTCCCACCTCGCCCTTCCGGCACATAGCAGCGAGTGTCAGGCATGCCTTCTAGGATGAGGAGCTGCAAAGATGGAACGCCGAATTTAGTCTTAGTCAGAGGTATTTATTCCATTATACATATATATATATATATCTGTCGTTTTGCCCTCTTCCCACCCCCCGCATGATCCTGCATCAATGCTCTAGTAAAGGCAAAGTGCACAAAGGTTTTCGGCACGAGGTGCAGCTGGTGCCCAGAAATTTGGTGCTCTCCAGAAAGGCTCTGGCTGGATATGTTGCGCACAAGCATGTGTTTCAAGCAACAGCTCGCAAAGGAATGTCGTTTCTGAACTAGCTGCCCAGCCTCCTCATTGCCCTGATCTGCTGCCTTGGAGAGCCAAGTCCACGCTAAAGCCTGAAAGTCTGGGGCCACCGTGGCACTTCTACTTCGCGGAAAGGCCACAACTTGGGATTGGGTTGGACGAGGGTTCGATTAAATATCTTCAAGTTTTGCACTCAACAGATTGCATTTCTGACAGACTCTGATCTGCGATCCTCGTCTCTCGCCAAGCCAGTACCAGTTCGCAAAAGTTGGCCCACGACTTCCTGGGCCTGCCAGACAATACATGATGTGTGCATACCACATGCAAGACAGTACTGAAACGTCGAACCTTTGGCTTTGAAGTGGGACCAAAAGGAGTCCAATGTAGCAGTGACAACATTCCATTGAGTCTATCCGCATGAATGAAAGGCAACTTGCAACATTCCAACTCCACTTGGGTGGGCGAGTGAGTGTAGCCCCACACTGCTGCTGATAAGTCAAGTCAATCACTTGGAAACGGGGAATTTCACAGAATGGCCTGCACAGATCCTTCTTTCGCTGCTAGCATGAAGTAACGAGCAGCTAACGTCTCGTTACCTTACGGTGGGGAAGAGAGGTGCGAAAAAGATTGCCGAAGAGAACTTAAGAGCACCCCAAGGAAAAAACAAAGCTTGGCCAGCTCAGTCTTATGTTTTCAAAGCACTTGAACTTCGAATGACTCACAAGCTGCCACTGCAAAGATCCTTACGTAAATCAAGCAATGATAGCTTGAGAGACTAATGCTGGAAATAGCACATTCCTGGAGGCTTTGACCATCTGTCTTAGGAATCAATAGACGGTAGAAGTGAGCCAGGCTTGAAAGGTCCCGGGGAACTGGAAACCTCATCCAAGCAGCGTTTGACGCCCTCGCCTTTGAGCAGCATCTCACCCAACTTCAGCTGTGCTGGAACATGCTCTGATGCCGCCTTGGTTTGCAGAAACAGTGGGGCGCAGCACAAATCGTAATGTTCTGTGAACGCAAGCCGCCTCTGCAGTGCCCAAGCTTTTGATTGGTTGGCTGGATAATTGAGGCCTACTATTAGTGAAGCCATTGTCTGCATACAGTACACTGGTAGTCACTCCCCTTTCCTGAAAAATGAATGGACCGGAGCCTATTGTTTCTCTGTACAGGGTGGTATCGCCGGACTTGCAAGCTTGGAATGTAAACTCCTCAGGACCTGTCGCGCTTTAGCCAGTAGAGGCCAGAAAGAGCATCCTCTCAAAAAAGTCCATGTCTATGCACGCTCAAAGTCTAAAGGCCAATTGATTTGCTTGACACAAAAAAGAACCATGTTCAGTCCTCTCCGCCCGGATGGACTCCGGTCAAGTATAGTTTGGACATTGCAAACTGTGCAGGAGCATAGCCATCCTGCACTAATCATTCTCTCAAATGAAGGGACTGAAGCTGTGCCGAGGATTCAAGAGCTATTGCCGTCCTGAAGTAGATAGAATCTGAGACTGTCTAGAATCAACTGGAAAACTGTCAGGGCTTGGCAAAGTGCTACATCATATTCATATTCTATCTACTTGTGGAAAACTACAAATGCAGATGACCTTAGACAGGCTTCGTGAGGGACCAAGATTGGTTGATACAGTTTCAGGCCAGCAGCCGCAAGAAGGTTGAGTTTGAGGGTATTGCAAATTTTGCAATCTCTCCCTCCTTGAAGATCCTACAATAAGAAACGTGTGTGGTTAATCTGACAGATTCTTGCAGGTGTTGATGGTGTGCAGCACTAGCTATGAAGTGCAACCTCCTCCAAGCTGGTGGGCGTGCTTCCAGAAGAAGGGCTAAGTTAGACATTGAGGCAGGAGCCGTGAGGTTGGAAAAGCCGTCTCCCAAACCGCGCTGATGGTCTCCCAGTTTCGCTCATCTTGGCAACGAAAATCTTGAAGCTCGTCCTCGGCTGCCATTAACACAAAGTTCACACCCGTGTCGACATCTTCCTCGCAGCCCTCTGCACGAATCAGCATAGTCCTCAGCAAAAAAGAAAAGACTGATTCACCACAGCGCCAGAGAGGCAAAGTGCAGTTTTTGCCGATCTGAGGTGATCTCCCCAACACATACTCAGCTCGTACATGATCTTGCTGAGCTGCGTCAAAAATCAGCTGGAACCTCGCAAAACGAAGCATCCTCCGGCGGTTTTGGACTCGGACTCGAGATATTTGTATTGCTGGATGCTTCAATGATAGGTCCCGCACGCACGAATGAGATCCTGTTCGACAAAGCCTGGCATGATGAAGACCACAAATAATTCATGTGTATACTGACACACGTTTTTTGCCAATGCACTATTAAATCTTATTTAGATTCTCCACCTGTAATATCCTGTAATGGGATATTCTCCACTGACAACTCCAAAAGGCCTTCTAAACAAGAAGGTGGCACGCCCTTTTCGAAGGACTTGTCCAAGCCTTCATGCAATCCAGACAAAGCCAAAAGGTTCCCCCATCCCCGTCGATAGGAGTGGATTGCTGACATGATGAGTCTTCTTTGCCTGAACTGAGCATTGGCATCCTCCTTGGCAGCAAGCTCTTCAAGCTCAGCAATCTCCTGACATGACAAAAATTGTCGGTATTGGATGGCCTACGCTTGAAACTTGCCAATCCCTTTGTGCTGCTCAGACTTGCAAGTGCAGGAGGCCTTCTTTGCCCTTTCCATGTCGGCGGCGGAAATCTGACCGGTGCGGTGCCCAGAGCAGAGCATGTGAAACTTGTCATGGAATGATCTGCTGGAATTCAATTAATCACAGGATCAACAAGGTAACGATGATTCTTCTCCACCTCCGCCTCCGCTGCCCAGCATGAAATCCGGGCCTTAGGGGGTTACAACTGAGGCTTTGTCGGAGGGTTGACAGGAGGGAGAGGCTTCTTCAAAAGAAGTTTTCACGCTGCAGGGCAGGATAATTTCCTAGAGCTGGAGATGACGGCGTGATCATCTCACCGTAACAATGTGTCACATGTTAGCGTGACCCGTGTCAGCACGTCAGCATGGCAACATGTGAGCGTGACAGCCTGACAACATGTTGGCCCAGCAAACCAGCCCGACAACAGCGTGTCTACACGTCTGCATGACAGCATGATACACAACACGCCAACATGACACCGTGTCAGCACATCACCTGACATGTCAGCAAAAGCGGCACACGGATCATGTTTGAAAGTTAGCACATCAATGCCCCTCACATTTGTAACTTACAATTTATGACATGTTGCAATGATGGCGTGGCACAATGTCAGCATGCTGAAATGTCAGTGTCAATATGCATGACGGTGTCAGCAAACAGCATGTGGGAATACTTATGAAATTGATGCAAAACCTGCTCCAGAACCTGCGCTCCGCCACCTGCTCTCCAGAAATTGCTCCAGAATCTGAATTCAGCTCCGGAACGCGCAACTGGCTCCAGAACCAAATTCCCGCCCGCTCTGGAACTTCTGGAACTTCCTATTCTGCTCCGATCTTGCTCCGTAACCTGCCGAGGAGCTTTGCTCCCGAACCTGCTCAGACTTATAATGGCAGAAGACCCCTGAGCTTCGCTGGACAACGAACCCATAGAAAAATCATCATTCAGAAAACCTGGCTCATGTGGTCCGGAGGCTGGGATTTCTTATGAACTTTTGATCAGCCAGAGTTTGAGCCCTTGGACCAAAACAATTGGCTTTCCGTACCAAAGTCGAGCGGCTCTGAGCACTCGTGTAAGCTGCGGCGGCCTCAGAAACCTGCCATGGCACGATGCTTGCGCTTTGCGGCTTTGCGGCTATTCTTCGGACGACATACAAGCTAGTCGGATGGACAGCCAGCTGCTGCTCAAAGAAAGACCAAGGATCCACAAAATGCTCATCCTCCTGCTGGGTCAAGCATCTGCCTTCCCATCACCAAATTGAAGAAAGGAGTGATAAAAGGTCTATTTGTGAAGAATCCTCCATGCAAGTTGACACACCAGACGTGTTTTCATGTCATGTCAAGCTGTTGAACCACAGCTGCCCTTTAGCACCTCAAGGGCTCGGCGCTTAGAAGAAAAAGCGCTATCAGTGACGCTTAGCGGAAGGGTGGGTCAATTCCTGGCACAGACCAGGTTATGAGCCCAAGCAGCCATGTCCCTGCACCATAGAAGACGCAAAGCAAGTGCTGAGGAATTGGCCCAAGGTGAACGTGGGATGCAGGCGGCGCAGCAACGCCTGGATCGTGAGTTGAAGCAAAGTGGGGAACTCGCCATAGAAGATGGTGAGGGAAATGGGGCTGGAAAGGAAAGGAAAAAAGACCCAATCCACCAGACTCCATCGACCACGGGCGCACCACCTACTGAGGAAAGCTCTAAGGTGACAGCAAGGACACCAGACACTAAGGCACCGAAGAGTGGCAGAGGCACACCTGCTGTGCCAAAGGCTATCATGCCCTTGGTTGAGACGCATACCATGGCCACTCCTCCCACAGAAGAGAGCCTCCCCCTGTTTACAAGAGACCAGATTGCAGGGTTACACGAAATGTACCAACAGGCACCCTGGCTACACTCCAGGTTTGAAACGCCAAACCAGTTTTCCGAGACGCCACTTCCATCGGTGCATCGGCCGACCTTCTTGGCTGAAGAAGAGAAAAGTGAAGAAGAAGCCAAGAAAGTTCTGATGTTGAGAAGGTTGGAAGAAAAGGCGGCCCTCGAAAGATTTGGAAAAGGAAGAAATGACCAGGCAGTTGAGTCTGCTTGCAAGTGAAAACCAACGGCTCCGTGATGATCTAGCTGCTACACAAGACTGGACATCGAAACGGACTAAGGAAGTGCAAGAAGAACATGGACAACGCCAACGGTTGGCCCAAATGGTGATGGAAGAAAATGTGAAGCTGAAGGATGATCTTCGCCAGCTGTCGTTGAGGCTGGACAAACAAGAAGAAGATGCCACCTTTGCCACCCTGAGTGTCCAAAGGTTCCAAATGGATGGCATGACACGACAAAAGAGATCCCAGACCCTGAAGAAGAACCAGTTCTCCGTGAAGGGAATGGAAAGGGAAAGGGGGTGAGAAAAAAGAAAGAAGAAGTTGAGGCCCAAGATAGTCAACACCAGACCTTGTCAATGATTCTCAACTTGGTGGAGGGTGCGCAAGTCCACAAGAAGGTGATGAAGAATAGTAAAGAAGAAGATTCTGCAGAGGCTGAAGTGGTTCGAACCGCTTTCCGAAGCTCCAGGAGTGGAATGCAGAAACCTCACCGATCGACTACGCTGACTGGTTACTATTGTTGCGTCCCATCATGGCTGACCTCTCCGCAACAAGCGAAATTTGGTGGGAGGAGGTTGTTCGAGTTGCGAAGCTATGGTATGAGACCCACATGTCAAAGTCACCATTGGAAAGGTTGAGCCACAAGATCGTCCCAACTGCAGCTCTCAAGCAGCGGAAATGGGGACGACTCGAAAAGCGTGCGTCGGCATTGCTCCTCGCTGCCATCCCAGGTACACTTCGAGAAGAAGTTGTTGCAGCGAAAAGCATCTCAACGCTGGGGATCCTGGTTCGGGGAATGGAGTTGTACCAGCCAGGTGGACTAGCAGAACGACAAGCTATTTTGAGCTCCTTGGAATCTGAAGCATCTACAGTTGGCGCTGGCCTGGTCACTCTCCGCCGGTGGATCCGGCGGCGTCGCTAAGCTGAAGAGCTCGGTGTCAGTGTGCCAGATCCAACAATCCTGGCACGTGGATTGAGTCGACTCCTTCGCAAGCTGTTGTCCATCAACCCGGACTTGAACTTTCGACTTCAACTCGCTCGCTCCTCGTTGATGATCGATTCAGTGCCAACTCACACCTCAGTCAGCCAGTATGCTGAACATGTGATGGCAGAGCTCGAGCAGGTCAATCTGCAGAGTCGAAAGCGAGATGGAAGTCACCAAGAAGCTCCGAAGATCAAGAAGTTTGAGGAGCAGAGGGATAAGAAAGATTGGAAGGAGAAGAAAGAAGACGATGAAAAAGAAAAAGAGAAAGAAAAGAGCCGCTGCAGATTCTACCTCACCGACCAAGGATGCAGAAGAGGCAAAGGCTGCAGCTATGCACCTGATACGAAGGACGACAAGAAAAGATGCTGGAATTGTGGCGGTGTTGACCACATGTCTCCAGCCTGCACTCGTCCGAAGGACACCAAAGAAGGAGGAACGAAGCCACGAATCTCGAAAGTCGAGAAAGAAAAGACAACAAGCAAGAAAGAAGAAGAAACGGAAGAACAGCAGCCTTCCATCAAGGACCTTTTGAAGGAGGCGAATGACATGTTGAAGAATATGAACGCACCATCACCCACCTCATCCATCATCTACGTCGACCACACCAAAAGGAGGTGATCAAGAGAGAAGTGAAGTGATGGAGAAGCTACAACAGCAGCTCAATGCCCTTCGCCAAAAAGCCTTCAAGATAAGAAGAATGAAAAGAGGGGAAAAGGAAGGACTGCTGGACTCGGGGGGCAACACATCCCTTGAGGCCGTTGAACAAGGGCGCCTATCGGGTTGCTCATTTCGGCTCTTCACTGTTCGGTGGAGTCGCTCCCTGGCCTTACAACTGATTGACAAGATCGAGGCGGTCAAGAAAGGCATGAAGTTTCAAGAAAAAGAAAGCTTCGCGCAAGAAGTGCAGTGGGTGCGGGACTTGGTTGAAGCACACCCAGTTCTTTCAGGGCCCCCAACGGAGGTGACGGATTGCTTGGCGGTGAGTCCAGGACCTTGGTCGTCTCTCCCGGCAAACCGAAGGAGGCGAAAAGCTATGAAAAGGGACGGATTTGTGTGTCACCTATATGATATGCCGGTCCTGACCAAGATTAACTATGTCAAGGGCCTGGAAGCAGTTGGGCGGTCAAGAAAACGAGTTGCTTGAAGTCAACCTACAAGGAGGTCCAGAACACAACATGCTCCTCGACTCCGGCCCCTATGCAGGACTGCTGAGGTCGATCTGGGAAGGAAAGCTCCTTGCCTTGGTTGGAGGCCCGAATTGCCGGACGAGAAGCGTGATGAGGCGCATTCCAGTTGATTGGCACCAAGCACCAAGACCTGTCAGGAGGTGGGGGAATGAAGAAGAACATGGCGTCAAAGATGCAACGCCAGAAGAAGTTCGAGGGATACAAGAAAAGATGGGCTTTGGGTTAGAACAGCCAGCATCACCGAAATCCTACAAACCGGAGGTGGTCTCTTGGTGGGACACGATGGAGTGGGAAAAGCTCAAAGAAGAATTTGGATGGGAAGAAGTGACTTTTCGCCAGAAGCCGTTGGGTGGAGCTGCAGTGAAAACGACTACGATGGGCGGGAACTTGTCACTCCATCCTGAAGATCATCAAGTATCAGCACCTCGTCACGTTGAAGTGAAAGGGTCATGGGTCTTAGCTCGATGGCCACCTGACATGATGACCATGGTCGCCAATGCAGTGATGACCCAATGCCTGAAGAAGAAACCAAAGGTGAAGCACTATCCTGGGGTGAACACGTTGCACATGGCCATGTTCCACCTACACGGGACTGTCGCATATGCCAAGAGACCAGGCAAGCTTCACCACATAAGAAAGTGGAACACAAGTTAGCCGGAGTGCTATCTCTTGACACAGCTGGACCCTTGAAGCCAGCCTACGACCATGGAATCCTGTCTCGGTACTTCTTGGTTGGAACTCTGACATGGGCTGCCCCGACCCAACTTGAAGAAGAAGTTGAGGCCATCCACATTGCGGAGGAGGAAGACATGGAAGAAGAGTGGCCTGAGATCGAAGAGAAAAAGCCAGAAGAGGCAAATGAAGAAGAAGAGAGAAGAGGAGGGCTCACTGATGCAGAAGAAGAGGCGGAGGAAGATCTCTACCCAAAACTTCATGAGCCCTATGAAGCTGAAGAAAATGAAGACGACCACTTCAATGGAGTTTAAAAAATTGAAGAAAAAGGACCTCCAAAAGACTTCCGCATTGAAGTCTACAGAATGGCATGGGCCTATGCATTCAAAGAAATCTCAAGAGGTCACTCGCACCACCATGGAGATGATCACCCGCTTGAGAATGGATGGATTCAGTGTGAACCAGATTCATGCAGATCAAGGCCACGAATTCGCCGGCCACTTCACGAAATGGTGCAGCCGTCGTGGCACCCTGCTCACCAAAACAGCAGGAGATGAACCACAATCAAATGGCCGCGCTGAGAACACCGTCCGAGTGGTAAAAAAAATGGTGAGAAAGATCCTACATGGAGCAGGAGAAGATTCCAAACGGTGGCCCTGGGCAGTTCGATATTGCAATGAAGTCCTAAGGATGAAGCGGCTTCGAGAACCTCCCGAATTTCCTCCCTTCCTGCAAGAAGTCTTGACAAGGAAAAGAAGATGGAAAAAGGGGGAGCTCGAACCCACCATGGAAACTGTCCGTTATTTGGGTCCTTCACCAGAGAACCATGGACACTGGATTGTAAAAGAAGGTGAAACACCACGCCTCACTCAAAGCATCTTCAAGAAGGTTGAAGGCATGCCAAATCCAGCCCACTGGATGGCTCTGGAACGAGAACTCTTGGACGGGCTGACTTTGAGGAGGCGACTTCGTGAGAAAATCACCATCAAGAAGATCGACGTAGTGAACCAAGAAGAAAACGAAAAGGAAGAGAAGGTAGTAAAGAAAAGGGGACAAAGGACGGTCGATGAGGAAATGAGAAGTGAGAAGAGTTTTTGAAGAACCACCAGAATTGGCGCTCCATAGAGGTCAAAGACGAAGACGAAGAAGAAGTGATTCAAATTCGTGTCGCCAAAAGAGGTCTCAAGACACTGGGAGCTATGGATTCCACCTTCGAAGGACGAGATTGACTCCCTTTTCGTCGAAAAAGAAGCTCTTGAACCAGTGAAGAAAGAAAAGTGGCAGGCGCTTATTGAAGAGGCCAAAAAGAAGGGCGTCCGCATCGAAATCATCCCTTCGAAACTAGTTTTGTCCAAGAAGCCTGGAAAGAAAGGAGGAAAGCAGAAGGTGCGTTGGGTTGCTTGCGGCTAACTTCGAGTCAAAAGCCCCAGGAGAAGATACATTTTCCTCAGGAGCGGACTCAGCCGCCTTTCGAATCCTCATCTGGGCACGCTCAAAGTTCCAATGGGAGGCCTGTACCCTGCCTTCCTGAATGCCAAAATGGACCAGTACGAAGAAGAACAGTTGATTTTGATTTGCCACCAGCCTTCTTCGCAGAGCGAGGACTTCTTGAGCATGACACGTACTTCATCCCAAGGAAAGCAGTGTACGGCTTCAGGCGATCACCTCGCCTGTGGGGTGAACACAGAGATGAGACTCTAGAGCAGTTCGTGATTGAGGTCCAAGAGGAAAAGGAAGGAAAAGAAAAGAAGAAAAAGTTGCAACTTCTAGCATCGGCCTCAGAGCCAAATCTCTGGAGGATCGTGCCCTTCAGCGAAGATCAAGAAGAAGAAGAACTGGAGTTGATGGGATTGGTCATGACCTATGTCGACGACATTTTCATAGCAGGATCGTCTCAGGTCGTTGAAGCAGTGACACAAAAGATCCAAACTTGGACGACGTCGACCCCTGACCAGATCAACAGCACTCCAGTTAAGTTCCTGGGCATGGAAGTCAGCAGGGAAATGAACCCCACGACAGGAAGAAGTCGATGGATCCTGACTCAGCAGTCATACCTGACTGACCTGTTGAGCCCAGAAGCCGAAAGATTGAGGGGGAGGAAGACTCCTATCACAAGGGACTATGCCCTGATGCCAGATGACGAAGAAGAGCCCAAGCTAGAAGAAATCAGACCAGCTCAAAAGGTGGTTGGAGAGGTCCTCTGGTTGGTTACCAGAACGATGTTCGCTGCTTCCAGGATGGGCGCAAGTGTCCTCCAGGGCCCTCAAGCAGTCACAACAGCAGCTCACCGCCTGAAAGAATATCTATGGCTCACAAGAGACCAAGGGCTGATCTATGAAGAAGAAGAAAATGAAATCACCATTCAGGTTACACCGACGCCTCCTACGCCCCGAACTCTGAAGCGTCGCACGGATGCACGATCGCGCAAGTCGGCGCATCCCCGATCGGTCATTGCCCGGGAGAACATATGGTTGCAGACATTGGAACGAAGGCTCAGACTTCCACCCGGCTTGAAGACCTAAAAAGAAGGCTCAACATGGGAAGCCAACAGAAGATAGATGAAGAAAAGACCGAAGGAGAAGAGAAGAAGTTGAAAGATGAGAAAATGAGCGCAGAAGCTGAATCTCAAGAAGAAAAGGAGAATGAAGGAAAGATGGATGTAAAGGCTGCTGAGAAGGCCGCGATGGTTTTGAAGCTGTTAGCGATCGCCGCCATGATGTCAGGTGTCAAAGCACAAGGAGGAAATGAAGTCGAAGACGAGTCGAGTTGATGATCGGCATATACACCGTGATTGTCATCGCTCTCACCATCCTTCTTTCAAGCTGCCTGAAGGAGCGAGTACCACCTCACTGGACCCGCTCACGAAGTGAAAGAGGAGAGGAGGTGGGAAGTGCTCCCAGGACGCCCGAAAGAAAGGGAAGGATGAAGATGATGAAAGAAGTGAAAAAAGTGAAGAAGAAGAAGAAGAAGAAGAAGAGAAAAGGGAAGAGGAGATTAGAGAAGTCCAAAGACCAAGTGGACTTCCATCCCCTCTCAAGTCGCCCGCTCAACCTTCTTCACACTCCAACTCAGCCACAGTGCCATCGTCATCACACTCCAACTCAGCCTCAGAGTCTCTCACATCAGGCCTACCAGAGCCACCAAAGAGGGATTGGGGAAGAATCAAAGAAGTAAGACAGGTGAAGAAAAGTGATGAGAAGCCAAAAGAAGAAGCGCCTCCTGCCAGTGCCGAACCTCCCATCCAAAGGGGAGGACATCGGCATCAGACAGACCACCACCAGGCAGGATCGGCGTCAAGCCAAGGAGAAGATCCCATCGTGTTGACAACACGATACGGAAAAGCCTACCACACCAGTCGCATGTGCGACTACCTCACGGCGAAAAGGACCGGTGAAGCACGACAGTCTAGCTGGTGCGATGATTGCAAGGCCTTGATTGGCACCAGCTCGCAATGGAATGTCTGGACTGCTGGATGGGGCCAGCCGGCCCATGTCAATCGCTACTGCCAGAAGCTTCGTGGCGACGTGTTGCCCTTCACCCCGTGCACTAGATGCGCGTACCAAGGGGGCAGTTTGAGCACAACAGATCCATGAGGGTCTGACTTTGAATGTTTTTGGTCCTGGCGGATCCAAAAAAGGGAGAGTGAAGAATCCTCCATGCAAGTTGACACACCAGACGTGTTTTCATGTCATGTCAAGCTGTTGAACCACAGCTGCCCTTTAGCACCTCAAGAGCTCGGCGCTTAGAAGAAAAATCGCTATCAGTGACGCTTAGCGGAAGGGTGGGTCAATTCCTGGCACAGACCAATTAGCATCATTTGACCCCAGTCTAAAGAATGCTGGCCATCTAGGCAATGAGTATCGAAGAAAAAATTGTCCCAATTGTCCCTTGCTGTCTGAAGTATTGAACCTGCTTGTATAACCTCTGCCAAAAGATATGAGCATGGGACATAAATGTCTTTGAACACTCATTCTGAACCTGTACCCTGACCTCAAGGGCGCAATTCCGAACCTGTACGGATCTTATGTTTGAATTCAATTGATTCAAAAAGTACCTCAACGGTTTCTGCACTGGAGAACAGCATCCTGGCAAACTGCCTTGAAGGATCTCTCCACCTTTGTTGCTGTTTGTGACTAATTGTGAAGTGTGTTGCAGTCCTCCAGAGGTGCATCATCATTGAGCTTCAACGACAGGGAAGCAGTTCATTGGTCATGCATCTGGTTGGGTATGGTGAACATCCCGTCATTGTGTGAACTGTCAAAATGGTGACTTACATCACTTACATCGGCTACTGCAACGAGTTTGTCCATGCCAAACATTATATAAGAGAGAATGTCTGATCTGATTGCAAACTTAAAAGAGGACCAAAGCCAAATGTATCTAAGTGTCTCTTCTGCAGTACTCTATATCTCGTGCGACGCAGTACAGAATGCGTGAGAGCACAAATGGTTGTTGCAGTTTCAGCTTGAAATCATGGCAATCTGTCAAAGCAGTTGTCAGTCAAAGAGCAGCTTCGATTCAGGATTTAAAGGTCCTGCGGAAAGTCTCCCCTGCTACGTTGTCCCATTGAAAACCAAGACACAATGGTTCGGCAATGCCGGTCATGCTACAACCAGGTGGAGGTTAAGCAACCTTTCCTTCTGATCTTCATAGCAGCGCAAGCTCATCCAAGCCTCCTTGTAGCCTCTGTGCTTACAAGGACAACCCTGAGCATAACCCACAGCAGGCATGCACGAATTTGGGTCGGGCAAAAGCAATTTACCAGGTCGCTGCCCTGTTGACGCAGCGGCAAATCCTCAAGCCCTTGAGCCCCTGAAAACTCTGAAAAATACACCAGGGATAGTGACTCCGGGCGCAATCCCTACGCAACTGAAGATAGAATAGTCAAATGGTTGAATCTGTGCTCTCTCACTTGAGAGTACTCAAAAACGGTAGGCATGGCTTACAGAGATGTTGGCCGTTACTCGGTTGTCGAACAAATGACATGCGATTGGCACTTGAAACGTTGTATGTTCAGCAAGAAACTTTACCCTGAGGTTTCATACCTTTATGCAAGTATGTAAACAAAGCGTTCAAGTTTAAATACTGCTGCCTCAGCAATGAACCGTGGTAGAGAAATCGTTGCTGACAAGCTTGCTTCTAAAGTACATGTGATCCATACTCATGCTCATACTCATCGGCATAAGCATGAATCAGGTCTCGTGATGATGATGGTTGTGTTATATACTATTGATGTTGGTAGTACGGCAAACAATTCTACTCTTTACCTCGCTTCTAGGCACCTTTGAAGCCAATGTTTAACACACTCAATCAATTCGGAGCTTGTGAACATTGTGCCGCGACCATACCAATGGTCATGGGGAGGTCGTGACAAACAATATCATTGTGAGACCCTGTGGCTTTACACTGAAAGATTGTCTGATCCCGGACTTTCACCAGCACCGTGGTGTGGGAAAACAACAGTTCCCCTCCCTTGGCGAAGGGACACAAAATGCAGAGCTCCAAACTCCAGAGATCAACGCCGCCTAGGTGCAGAATGACGAGGTTCGAATTTGCACCACAAGTTCGTGGTTCAGTTGTCAGCCACAACCTTCAAATCTTTGACCCTCTCAGAAGGAAGACTCTTTCGGAGGGCTGGCCTGAAACTCTTAAAGGTCTACACGTACCGTGGCAACAAGAATGTTTTTTTTCGGTCCAAGCCAACATGTTTTAGGAGTTGTCCATGTTACCTTCAGAACACATCAAAGCCAGGAGCTTGAAGCACACTCAGACAATCACAATCTGACAAAGGAATAAATGAAGTGTAAGCTGCGCTGAAGCGACACTCAGCTGGGCCTGCGAAGACCACAAGGCTTAAGAACTCAATTGGAGCTCTGCACAAGAGGAAAGAGATTTCAGCGCACAGGGCAGATTGCACCAACGCGCTAGCAGGTATTGACTGAATCGCAGGATGCCAGGGAATGCAAAAGCCGGTAACTGAATTGAGATTGAAACATTGGTAATCTATCCAAGAAAGGGTGGGCTTGAGTCCAATTGATTTGCTTGAAGTCATTCCATTCTTGTGTGCTTCCATACTGTTCTCCTGTTTGGATAAAGTCATCAGAACCAAATGACTATTTACACTTGTCAGTGAAAGAAGAATGTGAGGAAGTCAATGCTCTGTGGTCTTCAAGAATCTGTCTACGCGGCTGGGAGTTCGTCTACGGACTTATAATGCACAGGTTGAGCCAATCGCCCATTGAGAAACATACACCCACCCTGGCAAGTGCGATCAGGAAACAAATTCGATTTTTTCCGAGCTCAAAGCCTGCCAAGCATGCCATAGGGCTCTAAATGTATCGACAACAACTGAACTGTCGGTAAACTTGCTTGTGACTCGTGACCAAAACAATTGGCGGACAAACCCCGGGGCTTGGCTTGGTTTAGCTGCAAACTCTCCTAGACACCCGAAAAAAACATCGGGTCACTTACAGGCGCTGGCACCGCATAGCTGAGAGGTTGCTGATGATCCTCACATCAACAAACCCCAGCTAAGTAGGAGCGAAGCAAGGTAACAAGAGTCTTGCTCGCAGCCGAAAGAAAAGTCTGGGAGCACAGCCCCAGCAGTATGCCTACATTGTGCCCCCGACAAGGCATGGCATTGGGTTGATTGACACACTTAGTCTTTCGAATATTCCGGTAAGTTGACGCCATGCCAAGCAATGGCAAGCGTCTGACAGGGTCAGATCCCGCGGGCTTCGTAGCTCCAAGCTGGCAAACAGGTCCGACAGGTCCTGTCTGGGCCTCACAAAAGTCTACCAACTTGCAGCGTGCCCAAAGCCCTTGCGGCGCCACCCACCGTTCCGCAGAACGGAGCTGACGAGATTTTCTTTGGCCCCACCAAACAAGAGGGGAAAAACTACCTCCGGTCAAAAGAAGCTATCAGAGTCGTCTTCCCCCCCCTGAATTCAGAGCTCATCACGACCTTCCCTTTCGTGAATTTGCTATAGGCATGCAACTATACAATGAAACGGCTTCTGTTACTAAACACCGGCTCGCTGTCTGCTGTTCACTGGCACTCCTGGTGCGGTCACCACCTTGCCAGAAGATTCTCGAACGACTCCGGCAACAAAATGCTTGGTCGGTTTCTGGACTGGGCCTTCTGCACTTCATTCTGTTTCAGTCCAAAAGGCAACAAACTCTAGAGAGCGAAAAGTAGTGCTAAAAATTGGATACCATCCAAAGCCTTGTAAAGGAAAATATGGTAAAACCTGCGGGTTCTGGGTCTCTTTTTTGAGCCACAGCAATTGTTCGCGTGCAAAGACCAAGCATGTGACGGCTACTAGGCCCTAAGGGTGTTGTGAGGTCCCCCGCCGTGCCAGCGCAACAGAGGCTGGAATGTCTGTGGCCCTAGCACGCCGCTGGTTAGCAAGAGTAATACTAGTAACTTCTAATGGTAGTAATGCCCGTGTTACTAGTAGCGATGCCCTTGTTATTAGTAGCTTCTGAAATCGCATAAAAATGTCATTCCAAGCTTTTTCAAAAATACAATCATCACCTCAATTCCCCGCCTCCTTTATTTCCTCTGTCGTGGGGCCTTGAATGGACCACCGCCAAAACATGTGGCAGTTGTAAAATACCGATCCCGATCCCCCATTCTCATTGTTGGAGTTGAGTCCGCTGCTCAGGTCAGCTGTTCAATTGCAACAGTTTTCCAACAGAAAATCATGCATACCACATTCAGATGTCATTTGCCACCTTTGATTCTTGTCACTATAAGTTTCCTGCTCGAATCTTCTTGAGTGCTTCAGGGAAAGGAACTCGTTCACCATCTTGCAAGACCTGTGACAGGACCAAGCCACGTGCTGGCCTTCGCCTCACCAATCCTATCAGGTCCTCTAGTCTAGATCTTTTCCAAAAAGCATGGTTTGCTCAGCCCCCATCACTTCATGCCACTTACATCTTGCATCTACATAATCAGCACAAGCAAAGAGCGATTCTTTCGCATCGTGCCGAAAACTCGACGCCTCACTTAAGCGGACCCTGCACAAAACTCTCCAAAAAGGCACTCTCTGAGGGGCCTTTCTGGAGATTGCAACAACACCGAAGCTGTCTGGCCATGATCTCACTTCATGGTTTGCTTTCATGGCTCTCATCGCCTTCATTGCCTTCATGGGTGGTGCTTCCTCGTCGTCGGTTTGTTTCATTGCCTTCTTCATTAGACATCATGGTTTTCATAGCCTTCATTACATTCATCGCCTTCATGGCCTTCATTGCCTTCATCACCTTCATCGGGGCCATGTTCACATAGCACCAGAAGCCAGACAAGTAACAAGTGAGCCATTTCCGGGGTCAAAGTTTTATTCGGAAACGGAAACTAAAAGGTGATCTTCGGTAACTCCACGGTTTGCTTCGGAAACTAGTCTTCGGCAACTAAACTAAACAGTTTTCGGAAATTAATCTTCGCAAACTATTCTTCGGAACTAAACTTCGGTAACTAAGTGGTGATCTTCGGTAACTAGATGGTTTTCTTCGGAAACCATTCTTCGGAAACGAATCTTCGGATAGTTCCTGAAAAGCCCGAAAGAGTTTCTGAAGGTCGCGAAATGGTTTCTGAAGACAAGTGTCTGAAGAGCAGTCGCGGAAGAATACCAAATAGTTGCGGAAGAAAGCTTCAGAAGAATCAAGAGTTACGGAATAGGACTTTGTTCCCTTTTGGGGAAGCTTGACAAATCACACACTCCAGCCTTGACTAAAAGTAATCTCAGCAAAATGTGCTTCCGTGTCTCGACTTTCTGTTCAGCAGCTCTCTACAAACGACTCTTCCCCCGAGTTTCCAACAATAGGCCTCGGCATTCCATGCAAGCCCTTTGAATGCCAAATAGATACAAATAGCATGAAAACCACCCACATTCTCAATCCTGTCCTTTGCTTGATGTTTTTCTCACTCTGTATGGTCAAATCTGTGCGCTCTTTCCAGTAGTCTAGTTGTGAGAGAACTTCAAGGATTTTGTCGAACCAAAATCGGCTTTCTGTCGTGTATGTACAAGTGCCTAGAATGCTCTGCGGGACTGAGAATATGACTTGCATTCATCCGGTACGCTGCTATGCATAATGGGACTGCTCCGATAGCGCTCCACGTGCGCCGCTTGCCCCTGACAAGACGTGCAAATAGTCTTGGAAAAAACTATAGTCAAC